CACAACCCCTAGGGTTTAGTTAGGAGTTGGTTCCCTGTTATTATGTGGATTATCTAATATATTTTCAGAATGGTGGTTACGAGGCGTTTTGTGACCGGATCCGAATCGGAATCAGCGCAGGGCGATCAGGGTGCTCCGACAGAGCCCGAGATTATCAGCCAAGATGGACCAGCAATGACTAGAGGATCGTGTTAGGGAGATCATCCGCGAGGAGGTGGTCGAGATTGTTTGGGGTCAGTTCCCGAAGATGTTTGGGTCTATTAACACAGCTATGATGGAGTATTTTGATGACAGATATGCAGACCTAGTTGAGACGGTTGCCGCAACAGCTACAGCGGCTATAACAGCAGAAGGGGTAGGAGTTGGCTGAGCTTTTCAGTACTGGGACTTCGAAAAAGCGAAGCCCCTACTTTTGATGGGACTCAGGACCCCATCAATACGAGATGGAGTACGCCACGCGTACCAGAGGCTTCATCCTGAGTCCTGAGCCCCATCAAAAGTAGGGGGCTTTGTGTTATCGAAGTCCCTGTACTGAAAAGCCTGACCGGCTCCTCCCCCTATTGCAGTTACAGTCGTTGTAGCTACTGCAGTAGCCGTCTCAGCAAGGGCTGCATATCTATCATCAAAATACTACATCATAGCGGTCTTAGTAGACCCAAACATCTCTGGAATCTGACCCGCGGAAAATCTCGACCACTTCCTCGTGGATGATCTCCCTGACACGATCCTCTGTCAATGTTGGCCCACCCTGGCTGATAATCTCAGGCGCTGTCGGGGCCTCCTAATCGCCCTGCCTTGACCCCGATCCGGATCCAGTCACAAAATGCCTCGTAACCACCATACTGAAAACGTATCAGGAAGATATCAGATAACTCGCATAAATAACAGGGATCCAACTACCAACTAAACCCTAGGGGTTGTGACTTCCTTGCTATGCGTATGGGTCCTGTGCTTTCAGTAGTACAGGCCCATACTACCTTCCGCACCTACCCAAATCTGCCTCAAGTATCACCACAACACCCTAACAATATACATGAACATAGCAAACGCTCAATCCTCACTCCTAGAGAAATGTTGAGTATCTCATAAATGGCCTCTCGACCTCGAACAACCCACCCATGAAACTTCCACCAACCCTACAGTGCTAGTGTATGCTAGTCATACATAATGATGGACCCTATAGACTTTCGAATACTTGATCCTACCCTAAGCCCTTAACCATACTAGAATAGAAGATAAGGCCAAACCGAACATTCTCAGGCTATAAGATCTTAATAATGTACGGTCATGGTGCATACACTAAACAACTACAGTAATGATGTCAATTTCATATAAGGAAAACCCTATGCTATAAGGCATCATATAATCAGACAATTCTATCATGCATTTCCTGTAGATCCCTAGCCTAGTACTAGCATGCTGTTCTAATATATCACAATATCAAATAACTGTATGGTATTTTGGGGTCTACTTACTAGCTCCGGCTGATCGTACACTTGCATCCTCCTTTATTATTATGAAAAACAATTTGAAAATAATTTTGAAAATCCTTTCCTTGATTTGAGACTAGATTCACACGAGTGTTCCTCCTATTCACTCGTACCAAGGCTCTGATACCAACTTGTAACATCTATAAGAATTCATAAAAATTTAAAACTACTTAAAACATTTAAAAACCATTTATTATTACAAAGTGTTTTCAAAATAGTTTCATATCAGATATCCCAGAAATCATAATCATAAATCGAGGAAGTGTACGATCACACCTTCTCCTTACAGTGGTCATCCGTTGTACCTAAAACAATAATCGATAAATGTAAGCTTGAAGGCTTAGTGAGTTACCCACAAAATACCCATACTAACAACAAAACACATACAATAACAAGTAGCATATTATGGATCCAATCATCCATCGGGATGGAAGGCCCCTCAACCATTGGGTTGGAATACCAACATACTATGAGTCCAATCATCCTCGGGATGAAATATTCTTGGCCCACAACCATCGGGTTGGAATGCCTACACACAATACATATATAACAGATACTATAGGTCCAATCATCCATCTGGATGGAATACCCCAGACCCTCAACCATCGGGTTGGAATGCCCACCTACTACGAGTCCAGTCATCCTCGGGATGGAATACTCTTGGCCCACAACCATCGGGTTGGAATGCCCATAACCAGTCAAACATGTTCACCTATATCATATAATCAAATAACAGACTATAGAGAACACATACTAGGATCCTATCTTCCTCGGGATGGAATGCCCTCAAATACCAATCAATCATGTGAACATATAACAACTAATCTTCTACCAGCATACAGATAGTCAGACCAAACTACAGGTCACTAAGCATACATGCCCCATAGTGTAAACAATCTTAGGCTAAAGGATTTGATTCCACAACGGTTAGACTCAGACAAGAGCTACGAAGCAGAACCTAACCCTCCATCCTAACATCCTTTAAACCATGTAAGCTAGCATGTACAGATAGTCATACAGACCTAGCATATCACTGATCATAACACCATCCTACACCAAAATACAAATCTAACATAGCATCACCACACATAATCACAAGATAACTAGGATAACAATCCATAGATCCGACCTTCGTTCCTTAGACCCTTGAGTATAGTAAGGATAACTCACCTCGCAATGTCGATCAGAACTGAAGAATCGAACTCCTAAATCACTGTCTCACCAAAAATCCCGAACTATCCAAAATAATGAATATTAAGTCAATAAATCGGAATACTAATTTTACCAAGAGTCCCACCTATGATAATAGTCCATTTTGCCTTCCTCTAATTTGGGCCAAGGCCCAATACCAAATCCATGATCCACAAGTCCAGATATACAAGGACCATTATTGGCCTAGTTTTCCAAATTGGGCCCAACTCCCTAATTAGGCCTCATTCAAAGACTCACTACTAAAACTGGCCCAAAATACTCTTATCCAAAGAGCCCATCAAGGCCCAAGTCCAACTAGTGCAAAGGTAGCCCAATCCCGAAGCCCAAATCGCAAAAGCCCAATAGGGGTATTACGTTGGGCGTACCCCTCTGGTAAGCGGGGCGTACTCCATCTCGTGTTGACTGAAAAACAGGACTGTTGACTCGATACATGGGGCGTACTGCTCTCTACGTGGGGCATACACAAGTCTGAACCAAAACTCTCATAAGTTCTTAATGGCTAAAGCACTTAAGCCCAAACTTCAGATGCATCGACCAAATGTGCCTAAGACTCATAAAGTCTTGAACTTTAAGACTTTGGATGTCCAGAAAGTTCTGAACACATGGTCTTAATCCGTTATACCTTCCTACTCCATGCATGGGACACATTCAGCTATTGGGACATCATTTTTATCACTTAGGACCCTTTTGAGGGTCTGTAAGGACAGCTTAATATGACCAAAATGCCTCATGCACCATATTGGGGTTTTTGGGACAAGAAAAGTGCCAAGAAACTAAACAAGACGAGATCTACTCAAAGTAGTTTCCAAGCTAGAAGCTTTTTACCTCTTGGAGTCCAGAGAACTTCAGATCTTCAAGCTTGTCTTGGTTCTCCAACTATTTGATTCAATGTCTTCACCTTTAAGAGCTATAAACACACACTAACTCACACTCACACACAAAACTAGGGTTTGGGACGTTTTTGGAATATGGAGGCTAGAAATGATGAGAGAAAATGAGTCATAAGGATGTTTATATAGCCCCCAACCATAAATATTAGGGTTTCCTTTTGACATGAGTACGCCCAGTGTACTAGGGCACGCCTAGTACTCTCAGTGTACCCTTATGTACGCGCAATGTACTCCTCCTAGTCCCAAAATTGCAACTTAGCCCTTAGGCCTTTCATGGCTTTACCTTTCCATCCCCAGTGACTATAAATGACAAATCTTGGGATGTTACATCAGTGATCATTATTGTTATGTTCTGAACTTTAACGTGAATTTTCCTCACTGTACTCATGGGTTGAAGGCACCAATACTGACCCACTAGATTGTGTTATGTACCCTTGTGTATAGAGTGTTATTATGTCGTAGTGATCTGTTAAATTGGTAAATCTGTATAACTAATTTTACTTGCTAGTTATCGTTTTCCTGTTGCATATATCGATATCTTGTAGTTGGGTTGAGGTGGTACTACTTTGTGATGTGAGCCAAAACCCGGGAGCAATCCAGTCATATGCTAAGGGACGGGAGAGCAATCTAGTCTTATGATGTTGGTGCGGGAGTAAGCCAATCATGAGTTGTGGGTCAGGAGTAGGCAATCCAGTCTCATGTTGTGGGCTCAGGAGCAATCAAGTCTGATGTTGTGGGCCTAGTGTGCATGCATTATATATGTATTGTTGTGTGTGTACTTTTGGGGAACTCATTAAGCTTTGGCTTACAGTTGTTGGTTTCATGGCTTCAAGTACATCAGATGATTGTGGCAAGACGAATGTGTGATAGTACACATCCTCCTTATTGATTATGTTTAGAGAGATTTTTTATACTCTATTTCTATGGTTTTGGATCGAAAACAATGGATTACTATCTTATGGTTTTTTGGAATAATTTATAAAAACTAAAAAAATATATCATGGCTTTTGAAATGTTACATATTTGATATACTTTTCGTATGATAAAATTGCAAGAATGGTCCTTGTGGTATGTCAAAACTGCAACTCTGGTCCAAAATGGGTTTGGCTCGCAAGGATGGTCCAATAGTTTCGTTTTGTTGCGATTTTAGTCCAAAAATTTTACAACATTATATAATGACGGATTTTCCCTTGATATTTTCCCTTTTTAATTTTTTTATTACAAAAATTAAAAAAGGAAAAAGGAAAAAAAAGAATCTCTCTTTTCTCTCTCTCTCTCTCTCTCTCTCTCTCTCTCTCTCCCCCCCCCCTAGAACATTACCCAAGAACATTACAATGGAAAATACCCTAAAAATCTGAATTATCAAAAGATAATAATGTAGAAATATTATTTGCATTCTTGAATCGATCTAGATGGATAAAAGGGAAAGGGCTTTTTGTGCCCGTGTTCGATGTTTGATCGGGTGATATGAATGCGAATGAACCACAGTAAACACGAAGGAAACATGAATGAAATCAAACATTAGCCTCCGATTGATGACCGATCGTGAAGAAGTTGAAGCGCCTCCGGCGCTTGATGGGACCGAAGAAAATGAAGAATCGTAAGAAATCTTAATTAACATTTCGATTGAGGGGTGTGGCTCGACAGTGGATGGTGATTCGCGAGGGGAAGGGAAGAAGGCTCGCAGGCGGCTAATCCCGGTGCTCCAACGTCGATTGATAGCGACGAGGGAGATCGTCGGTGGGTATAACGTGGTCGTCAACCATGGAACAGGTGAGCGAACAGGATGGGTAAGGCAGTAATGAGGGTCGATTTCCTGCGAAAGCTTTGTTTCTGGAAAATTGAGGGGGCCGGAGAGAAGGAAAGGGAAGGCAGTTAAGCTTCTCTCTTCCTTTTCTGATAACAAGGTGCAATGCGGAAGGGAAAACCAGTTAAGCTAGGAGAGAAGCAACATCGATACAGGTGGTGTGTTTGGTAGTGGAGCTCGACGAGAAGAAGGGCAGGTGCGATGGGGGGGGGGGGTGTTCGGTGTTGTTGTTTGCTCGACAATCACAGGTTTCCTTTCATCTCTCTTCTTTTTTACTTTGATTGTAGATCCATGGGGTTTAGTCGATAGATTTAGGTTAAGATGAGTGTTTGTTGATTGATTGTTGACAGAAATGGATAAATGGAATGGATGAGTAAGGCTAATCTTTTACAGGAAATCGATGGGTGTATGTTTGTTTTGATTGATAGAATCGATGGGGTGTAAATCACTAGGTTTAGGTTTTGTTTTGGTTGCTTGAAATTTTCATGTAAAGAAGATGAAGCATTATATTTCTCATTTGCAGGTACATGAAAAGAACAAGAATGCTCTTGTGTTCTTGGCTGGGAACGAATGCAGAAGGGAAGAACAAGGATATGTGTTGATTGTATTGGTTTATAAGAGAGAGAGAGAGAGAGAGAGAGAGAGATTTTATTTTTGTTTTATTTTTAATTGTTCTTTAATTGTTGTAATAAAAGAAAATAGAAAATAAAATAATAAGGGGAAAATCCATCATTATAAAAAAGTTTATAGAAAATTGGACTAAAATCGTAACAAAACGAAACTATTGGACCATCCATGCAAACCAAACTCATTTTGGACCAAAGTTGCTAGTTTTGACATATCATAGGGACCATTCTTGCAATTTGGTCTTTTCTTATTTATGTTCTATATATTTTCCATAGAATTCTTCATTATAATAAATATGTTTGTGATTATTAAATACGACACAAAATGATTTCAAATATGATAGAATCTATCTGCGATGTAAATCAAAGCTTGTTCTTAAGAAAGAACCAATTTACGATATTTTGTTGCATGTGATAATACATCTCACAACTATGTTAAGTTGCATGAACACCCACAAAAGAACTTAATTGTTAAATTTGAGAATGTAACGTCTAAATCATAATATCATCAAAAAAAATGAGGACATAACAAATGGTAGTATCAATACAGTATTCCCATTACACACAAACAGTAAGGTATTAGATATCACTTACAAAAAAATGATTTAAATCATTTTGTATACATACTTTGCTCGAGAGCTCGTCATTCTATGGAAATTCAAGTAAAATACGAAGTCTCTAACAATAAATTTATTGACAAGTGAGGTTTTTTTATGTATGATTAACTTCACGATCATGATTTACAAGTCTAGCACTTTCCTTTTCCTTCAAGTCATCAAGATAATGTTGATAAATATAAGAGAGAAATCCCCATATCGCTAACAACATGGAAATCACCTTCACTCCATTCATTTTTTCATCAAAAAACATTACGGCCAAAACAGGCACAATTGGGATACTTAAAGTGGTAATAACATTCGAGAAAAGAGATGAAACTTCAAAGATCAAACCCACATAACCAATCGAGAAAACTTGCCATGAGACAGCTGTCCCCACAATATTCATTATGTATGAAACCCTTCCAGATTCAAAACTCCCCATTTCCCCCTTTATATCTTTCCATTCACCACTAGCAAATAGTCCCACGAGAATTCCAACAGTAGCTATCAAGTTTTGGTACACGACCATATCAAATACCACATTATAACTTGTAGATTTCAAAATCTTTTGAAACGCGAGTTGTGTTATGGAAAGCATTAATCCATACCCTACACAATCATAACGTAAACATTATATTTCTGAATGTATTATTTTCAAACAAAAGGTTACCTAAGCGTTGAAGTCTGTTCGATTTTCATTTGAAGAAACTCTATTTTCGAATACTTAATTCCAAATGATCACTACTAGACTAGATTATTGGATGGTTAACTTTTTGTTTATATATAAAGAGAGTTTTGTATTAAATAGTAACAATGTTTTGCTTTTTCTGGTCCAAGTACCTTAAATGTTTCTACCAACACCAAAGAGACTTATGCTGATCATTAAATTTGAGATTTAAGGACTCCTAAATGAGCTACCAAAAGTTAACTAATCGACTTTCAGTTTTGTTTCATTTTGTGAAATTGTGTATATATATTCTTGTTCCATGTCTGTAAAGATCTGCATATATTTACAGTGATGAAAGGCACAGGTTGTTGCTAAAGTGTACAAACCGTACATGAAAAGCTTTCGGAAACAATCTTACTAAATATATGGCTTTCTAGTTTCAGTAGTGATTTAATGCTGGAAACGATGTGAATTGGTTGTAGTGGTGTTAGTGTGACATCATCACTTATCTCATTTTTAATGTTAGAAAAAAAAATGAAACATAATATCTAGTAGTATTTAATAAAACTTCTAAATTTTGACATTTTGTCACGTAAAGTATGTCTAAACAAATAAGAACTTCAGAAAACTCATCATTTGCCACTCTATCACCAAAAGCTAAAAATTACAAAAATAAAATATTAAAAATGTAGCTAAAGAAAATTATATAAAAAAAATTAAATTAAAATTTGATAGGTTAAACGTTTTTAGGAAACATAATTAAAGTTGTTTTAAAAGTTAGTTACTATTTTAGGAAGTACGTATATCATATCATGTAACTTAATGAACACTAATGTTAGTTTTACGAGCACCAGTTACATCGGAAAAAGGAGTCATTGTGATAGCAACTAATTTATTTTGAAAAACTAGGTAGATTTTATAGACCAAAATAAAATATAATGGTTAAAGTAAGGTTTTTAAGATGGTGATCTTATATAGGGCAGTTTTGCGAGATCCTGATCTTAAAATTCTATCAAAAAAAATTTATTCGGTAGTTAACCATACAGTTAACCATAAATATTTTAAAACATGCAAAATACATTTATAATAGATTATTTAACGATAAACAATTCAAAGGGGAATATTACGCAGTTAGTCCATAAAAAATATTTGAATTATGTTTTTTAAATAAAAAAAATATTAGCAATACTACGATCTTACGATTCGATCATATGATCCTAACGTGATCCTACCGAATAACGATCAAAGTAAGATCAAGATCGATTTACCTAAATGGGATCGTACGATTCTATACGATCAAAATTCCATTTTTAACAACCTTATTATAAAGCTCAAAAGAAGACTATACCTGCAGAAGCAACCATTGTGCATACAAAACCAATGATATACTTGTTTCTCGATATTTTTCTAGTCTCTTCATAATCGCCTTGGAACACAAGTAGCGTGGACGAAAAACTGAGAAGAACAAGCGAATTAGCTATGAAAGGGGTGAACTTCTGGCCATTAAGGAAGTATGAAAACAAGGCATTGAAGGCGAGTTGACTCGCGCAAATCAATGAATACGTGGAAACTGGCAGAAACTTGAGTCTGAAAGTATACAACATACAATTTGCAGCCAAGAATGTGCCGATAGTTGTATATAGAATCACAAGGGTTGTCCAAGAAGGTTTTCTGGCGACTTGCTCAGGGTGCTCCTGGGGTGTTTTTGAAGGTGAAAATAGGAAGATAAATGGGAACATAAGTGGAAATCCAGCAGTTTGAACAAGTGTTGCCATCCATTTACTATTTCCACCTTTAGTGAAGTAAAGTCTTCCCAACATTGCTCCGACTGATTGGCCGGAGAGTGCAAACATGGTGAACATTGCTATTTGTATCCACCACTTGTATCGTATGACCTTTGAAAAGCATCGGCCACCATCTAATAGGGTTTCTGTGTTTGTATAACAATAAAGCAAAAGAGTGGTGAGTAGTGGTAGAATAGTTTTTGTGTATAATTTTCTTCAACAAGTTATTATCTATTAAACATTTTAGAATTTTTGAGTTTTTTTTATAATAATTTTCATTAAATAAACAAGTCATTGACAATCATGCTAAAAATTACGAGTTGACCAATTAAGCGGTCAAAATTAAAAAAATTCAAAACTTAATGAATATTAAAATCATTTTTTTATGAAAAGATAATGAATATAGATCACCTTCCATTGAAAATAATATAGTTAGAGAATCACCAACCCATTCCCACTTACAATCGTTATTGGGTTGTTACTAAAAATATAAAAAATCTATTCTAATAAATGAAGGTTTTTTGTCATATGTCATCTTCTCATTTATTTGCACACATGACATTTTATAGAATTTTTAAATTTTTTATTTTCCACTTATCATTTTATAGTATTTTTCATTTTATTAAATTAAAATTCCACATTTAATATGTACGATAATATATATGTAAGATATTTATTAAAAATAATGTATATATGTAATGTATTCGAAACATTAAAGCCTTATTAGTTTTAACAATTCAAAAAAAAAAAAATCATTTTCTTACAAATTCAAACTTTTCAAATTGTTAAAATTTCATATTTATTTATTTTTAAATAAACTTATGTAATAAATGAGTTTCACACCTACTAGATTATATCGTAAAATACTAATTTTCATTATATGTAATAAAACGATTATATATTTTAAAAAAGAAAATACATTCATTCATAGTTCATGAAATTGGTAATAAAGTATATTTTTTACATTTAAACATAATAATTTGCAACAAAATTAATAAGGTGTTTTGATTTTTTACACCGCAAGTTTAGTAGACATTTTTTCCATGTATTTCATGAAATTTGGTAAAATATAGTCTTGTAAAAGGGGAGGCAACAAAACTCATGAATACATAACGAAATTTGTTAAATTTAACTTTGTTTACCTAGAAAGAAAAAAATTACTTTCTACGTTGCATATTAATAGTTTACATTTTCTTTTTAGTTTGTTTCAGAATAATAATCTAATTCTAAAATAAATATTTTTTATCAAAATATGTTCGTTGTTAGTTAATTTACCATGTAATTAAATAAAAGAAAAAGACTGAATAAAATACAACAAAATGATAAGATTGTTATTTTATTTAATAAATTTAGAAATAATTTAATGTTTCCTTAATCTTGTGTTTTTTGACTGTAGATAATAGTTTTGTGACGAAGGGGTATATTAGTAAAAATTACGGTAACTTGCATAAAAGACACTAACTTTTTAGTTTTTTTTTCTTTTGATTTTAACATTCGTTTTTCTGTTACAATTAAATTAATATGTTTTCAATTTGTTTCATTTCTGAACAGATGATCAGTTTGTTTTTAGGTCCTCTAATAATCATTGCTAATGAGGCATAATGATGTGTTAAAAAAAAAAAAAACAAACATGCCACAATGTTTTCATTTTTTCGTGACTTTGACACTAAGTTTTCAATATCGCAAAAAAATGAAAACATTGTGACTTTTGCGCTATGTTTTTTCTTGATATGTTATCATGTTAGGTTAGTTGTGGTAACCGGATGACCTAAAGCAATCAAAATTTCAACAATTTAAAAACATAATAATTTAATTGTAGATAAAAATGAAAAGTTAGTGACTTTTATACTTTTTATTCTAAAATTTATGATTTTTTATTTTGTGATTTTTTTTTCTGAAAAGGATTTCATTTGAATCAAGTTTTTCAAAAATAAATAAATAATAGATAATATAAAATTGCCGAATATGATGTGTCCATTCCTTTAGATTTTGATATAAAATAATAAATCCAGCTGAATGTACAACCTTTTATATCTAATAATTTAGGGATCTGGGACCTCGTACTTTCTAAATTACCATCTACAAGAACAAGACTACAACTTTCAATTCATTATTGGATAATTAGTACTATGCCATTCCCATGTATTTACTATCGCATATATAAAAGTTTATTAGAGTTTCTTGATGGCCAACTCCTAAAAATATACTGTACAAGTTTTATACCCAAATGTACAAGTCATATTGCATGATTACTATGAATTTTATAGTCGCCGATTTTTTATTTTTCCATTGATAAAAGCTCATGTTTTATTTATTACCTTGCTAAATATATAATAAAAAGCCTACAAAGGACGTCAAATATTATATACAGCTTTTCATACACAAGATATAATTAAGTCACTAATGCATAAATTTTGGTAGAGAAAAAAGACAATGGTTTCGATTATAAAGTGTTCAAACATAAAAGTGTACTTACCAACTGTATTTGTTGCATGTTCTTCATCTTCCTTCATTGATGAGTAGAAATAGGGAAGAGGGCAGAGCGAGAGAAATCTGAACTAGTTTTGGGTTTGTAAGGGTGCTACACTGCTACTTCCACTGCAAGCATCGTCACCATGTGAATATAATAATTATAGGTATTAATTAATTTATATAAGTACAAATTAATACACCTTTATTCTTGTTAATTAAACATATTTATATGGAAAGTTAAAATTGGGCTAACATGATTTTTTAGTAAAATGGGTTGGTGTAAAACATAGGGTAACACGTTTTTTACACAAATTTTTTTATAAAATATATTTATTTTTAAATTAGTATTTTATATATGATTATATTTTTTATAATTATTTACTTTTTCTGCAGTGTTTAGCAAAAATTATGAAGACCTAATGGAAATAATTCAAATGGAGGCATTGAAAACACAATAACAACATCATCGTTTTTTACCAACCGGGTATTATATTCATCATGATATTAACATTTTTTTACTTTGTGTTGCAATTTGTTAACAAATGTTTTTTTTTTAAATAATAGTTGTTTGAGTCTCGTGATGAGTTGATGGAATGGGTGCGAAACATTGCATTCTCTCTTAGTTATGTCATTTGTGATAAGAATATCAAAGACAGGTAAAAATGGTGTCGTATCTTATATCATACTTATTTATGATCGTGGTCGTGAATACAAAAGTTAAGCAACAACAAAAAATTTTGGCACCAAAAAAATCAATTGTAACTTTCAATTGGTAGGTGCGTATATCAAACAATATGATAGTTGGACCCTGAGGGCGATATGTGAATCATCCATATGCACAATATATGGAGGGGAATGTTTTTGTTAAGTAGTAGAAAGAACACAAGAAACAATTGGTGGCCTACTTGACAAATCAGAAATTTACACCACATGACATCCTCTCGATATTAAAGGAGCGTGACAAGAATAATGTATCCACACTAAAAACCATATACAATGCACGTTCAAGCTTCGCTCGTCCTGAAATTACGAAAGTACTCCAATACATGTTTGTATATTCAACAAGTATTTTTGTTAATTTAATTTAAATATTGAATTTTTATTAATTAACAATTTTTCAATGTAGGCTCTAATGGAAATTTGGAACAAGAAACATTTTTTTACGGAGTTCTCCATAAATAGTACTTCAAATGAATTGGAAAATCCATTTTTCATTCATTTGTAGTCGTTGAATATAGGGAAAGCATTTCCAGACGTTTCCATATGTTTTGATTATAGATGCAACATATAAGACCAAAAAATATGGTATGCATTTTGTTCGGATTGCTGGCACAACTTCACCCAACAAGCCATTTAGTGTATCATTTTCCTTCGGATTGTTGGTACAACTTCACCCACCGTTAGAAATTAGCATAGATAAATAAATGTAATAGAGTATCAATGTAACAAGTCATTCTTATAAATAAATGTGATTGAGTATACCCTTACATATAGAGATAAATCGACTTATAGGCTCAAAAATGAGTGTCCAGAAAGTCGTATCGTCTTCTAAGATGGTTAATATATTCGGAAAGTAAAGGATGGTGTGATTCCAGGGATATAAGCTTCGTAAAAATCTAAATTTGATTGGAGGAGTTATAACTTTTGCATAATGGAAAATCAACTATGTAATTAGAGTTATTAACGTCAAAATATGATTAAGAAATCGGTTGAGTTTTGGCTACTTTAATCAAAATGAAAGTCACAGTACTTCTCTAGGTGAGAACGTCAAGACAAAGAATATCGAAAATGGAGTCCATACGAAAAGATATGATTTTTATAAAATCATTTAATTATACCCCTGTTAGGCCAAAAGGTGAATGTCTAAACTAGCATATTTAATTATACGTAATGGAATAATTATGGAATAAAACTATATTAAAGGAAAACTTAAGGATATGTAATGTACTTAATGATACTCTACCCTAATATCCTATCAAAGAATATCAATACAAAGATAATTAATTATTATACGTATATGCTTAATTATATGTATGAATAACTATCTACGAAAATTATATTATAGGAAAAAAGTAAATGTAAGAATAACAAGGATAAATAATCGTACTTTAAAGGTTTATCAAAGCAAGTTGTTGAATGAGACGTATTATTTATCCTTTAGCCGATTAATATTCAACTAACATTGAACCTATAATCGTTAATCTTAAGTGAACATTAAAGGTATGTACAAATCTCCGGTTTGACACTCTCACTTGCAGTTGCTAACTATTACCCCGATAGGCATAACTTTAGTCTTGCGACGTCTGATGAAGTGTAGTGGCGGAGAAATTTCAAGTCATATAGCTTGATTATAGGAAGTCATTGATAACACTGTTTGCCAACATTAATTAATTAAAATACCTAAAAGGGAACGCCTTGAAAGTAGTCAAAGTATGAAAAGATAAGAAAAGGGATAAAAAGTATATACAAGAAAAGCTATAGGATTAGGATTAATTTATCCTAAGAAAAATAAGATATAAAGAATAGAAGCCTTTTAAATAAAAAGATGATAAAAGTATTCTAAAACTATAAAACAATAAAAACATGTGAATTCACCAACATTTCGTTGATGTTTTCAAAACTCATGTATTCTCAGGGAAATGAGTGCCGGTGGAAATAGAGTGTTGAAGGAAGTCGTCATCTTTCTAATGGAAGCTTTAGTTGTTCTCATGTTGTTTAGTTTATGATTTTGGAAGTGTGCTTGAATATCAAAAAATGTAACCCCTATATTAATAATGAATAAAAGAATTATATGTGTTATATTTCTATGTACTGTTCAATAAACTTTTTTTCCAGATCCAACATCCCTAACGTCACACAGCTTGACATTTCCTCCGCTGGCTGAGGGTGTGACAGGTTGGTATCAGAACTACTAGTTATTGCGAACTAGTAATTCCTTAGGAACTATTACTACAAGTTAAGGCATATACTCTGATTAGGTTTAACCCTTAAACCTAATAACTAAAAGTATTAACATAAATTACACTACTGGTAGACTACTGACGGGAGAGGTGTCTAGTTTGAACTGTCGCTTGGGTTGCTAGATTTCAGAATGGCTATATGCTAAAATGTTCCTACCCTCCATCACTTCTCACTTGGACAATCCTTACATGATAGTCTTGAAGTACAAAACATCAAATTAATAAAATACCCTTAATAAAACAATAATCTGATATATATATATATATATATATATATATATATATATATATATATATATATATATATATATATATATAAACTCTTATAAATATATCTAAATATCATAAATAACATCAATATAAAGAACAACTCAAGATTTTAGGTCTAAAATGTTAACTAGGGTTAGTATAGTAAATCGGTCGTACCACAATTAGACCTAGAATGTACAACTAAGTTTTATTATGATCCGACTGACGCACCCCTAAAATTGGATATGGTAGTTGACAAACTAAAAGCTTGAAGATTTATGGATCGGTATCCTATTTTGATTAGTTGAGATTGTTTTATTGGAGGATTAGATCTAGAGCTACTTGTCGAGGATTTTACACCTAGCTTGAGTTTCGCTTTTGAGGCTGTATGGATTGATGGTCCAGAGTTCTGTATCCGGCCTGCCTACGTAGAGAGAGTCACAGGAGACTCAGTACTATCTATTATGTACTATAACTAAATATTATTTGTATTCCTATGTTACCTCTCATAAACATTTAACATGTTTGATGTCTTATGCAAGTTTGCGGGAGCTAGATGCCAACATAGGTATATAGATCTTACTTCCTGATAGATGTTGTTTCATGCATCTTTTAAGGTAGTTTTTATTACCATTTAACATCATATTTTACACATTTGAAAGTCATTAGTTTAAATAATGTTCAACTCATGTCATTTATTAGAATTCCTGTACTGCCGTGTTATTATGTCATTTTCAGATAATTTGAGTGGAGCGGTACTTTGGGAGCAACTTTGGATGCGTTTAATGGAGCATTGAAGTCTAAATGGTGCTTGGAACTTATTAAGTATTATGTGGAATGCTTAGAATATGTTTTCGCCAAGAAATATTTGATCAAGTTGATTATATGAATATAGATTGCTACATTCTAAAGCCTAAAGGATGTTGTTGGCAGCTTTGACCCACTGTTAGTATTTTGACCATGTCTATTAACTCGTAACTCGAATTGACGAGATTCAAAATGTTACAGAAAGCAGACAAAATTTCTAACAAATTTCATCTTTGTGAAAAAAAATGAGAAAATGCAGAAATTCGATCGAATTTTTTTCAAAAAAATTCAATCGAATAAACACTTCGCAGTCCAGAGTATTTAAAATCAAGAAAATGAAAAATCCGACCAGATCTCAAAAAATCCAGTCGCGTAATCGAAAAATTCGATCGGCTTTTTGGATTTCTTGCTCCCAAAGACTCTAGCTTGTATATATATATATATATATATATATATATATATATATATATATATATATATATATATATATATATATATATATATATAGGATGTCTCTATGATCAGATGGAAGGTTGGACGATTCCTAATGCTCCAGACGATAAAAAAGATGATTTCTGAGGCAATTTCTCTTCGATTTCAGTGATTTCTGAAGATCTAAAAGTTAAAGATCATCTCTTACATTTAGTTAGCAAGATTAATCAATTAGTTTATATTTTTATTAGTTTTAATTTGTTTTTAGCCATGTCTGGCTAAAACCTTAGTTGTCAGTTCTACAATTGACAAGTACTTTTCATGTGATTAGTTTTCAAATCTGATTTTTGATTTGCGTTTCTATACAGATTTTCTAGTTTTGAGCTTAATGAGCGTTTGATTTTAATTATTGTTAGTCTGATCACCTAGCTAGAGTTTTATAATTCCAGTTAATCAGTTAATAGAATCTATAATTGTTCTTGCCAACTAGTAAAAAGCAACAAGTATCAGATTGGTTACGTATTAGGGATTTAACTCTAATACAAATTATAAAAATCATATATTTACGTTTCCGATCTTCTGAGAAGTATTGGGTAATGCTAGAAATTTTACACAAATCTTAATGCAACTTTTTTGATTTTAATTAAGAGTTTGTTTAATTAGACAGTAAAATGTTGAGGTTAACTGGAGAGTTTGTTTTGATTAATTTTATTAGGTAAAAAAGATTATACTAGTACTTATTAGTTTTTCTCAGCATTAGTTTAGATAAAACGCATTCTGAACAACCATATTTGAACTGACTGTATGATTAGGAAAGTCGCTTCAGAACTGAAATCGTTTTTATTATTGATTTTTGTTTAATTTATTTTCACAACAAATTTTAGTTTAAATCAAATCGCACTTTTTAATAATTTTTGTGCCATGTTTATCTTCTGACACGTTATCGCGTCATATTAGTTGTTGTAACCGGATGACCTGATGCTACCGGTTAAAATTACAACAAATTGAAAAGATAATATAGCTTATTTTAACATAAAAAACACGTCAAAATTGATAAAACTGAAAAGTTACGATTTTAATACCTTTTATTCTAAAAATTATGATTTTTTTATTTTGTGGTTTTTTTTTTTTCTGAAAACGATATGAATTTATAGTCGCCGAATTTTATATACAGCTTTTCATACACAAGATACAAGTCACTAATGCATAAATTTTGGTAGAGAAAAAATACATTGGTTTCGATTATAAAGTGTTCAAACATAAAAGTGTACTTACCAACTGTATTTGTTGCATGTTCTTCATCTTCCTTCATTGATTAGTAGAAATAGGGAAGATGGCAGAGCGAGAGAAATCGGAACGAGTTTTGGGTTTGTAAGGGTGCTACACTGCTTACTTCCACTGCAAACATCGTCACCATGTGAATATAGTATTTACAGGTATTAATTAATTTATATAAGTACAAATTAATACACCTTTATTCTTGTTAATTAAACATATTAAAATACCACTTGCCTTCGTAAACGCCACCACCATCTTTTTCACCATCGCCGAAAATATTGTAATGGTAATCGTCTTTATGGTCTAGGCAAGCTCAATAAAATATTGCTCCCTTCTTGCCTATTTTGTCCATATAGGTACAATTTTAAATCAAAATAATCATGATTGGAAGAGTAATTGTGGTAATGTTCGATTTAAATAGATGTTCCTTGTATGTATGTGATACATGTAAGTTGGTGAATGGAAACACATTTCTTTTTCTTTGTCACATACACACCATGGGTAGTGCTAATAAGAATATATTCTGAAATTGATGTTGTACCGATAATGTGCACCATGTTTTTTAGTCACACATTTGAAACCTCTTGAAGAGTCACTGTACCATTGGAAAGGACAGCATTTATTTTGGGTAAAGTTTTGTGTCATTTTAAAGCATTTAATAATTCACTTCAAATTTCAAGCTTTTAATGATTCCGGGAACATGTTTGATTATTTATTAGAAATATTAAATATCCTCCTACTTTTTGTTTCTACGTATACTTCTACCCAATGAAATAGTGATATGTGTAACATTTAATGTTCATTTAACGAGATTTAAAGATATTTTAGGATACTAAAATGACACATGTCATTATTTAAATGGGTAGGAGGATTTGTATGATCGAAAGGTAGGAGGATATTTAATTTCTCTATTTATTATTAATTTTTTTTTCTGTTAATAAAGAGGTGGCAAAACTAAATTCAAGAGAGTGGTACTTCTTCGGCTATTGTATGCCACATAATATCAGGCGTCCCACCATCCCTCATGTGCTCATGAGGGTGATGGTTCACAGGGTTGGGAGATTTGGAGGGCCTGTGTTTTTTTTTTTTTGAAACGGAAAATAGATTCATTAAAAAAAAAAAAAGTGCTACATGATTAGGAGGTAGCTAAACATGAGCAAATACAAGGAGTGGAGGGCAAGTTTACAAATTCTAAAATACAACATTATATTTGAAAATCATTAAACTCTTCGTCTATTTTAAAGTTAATATAGTACTGAAATTCAACAGTAATGACATAATTTTCTTTCATTTTATTCATTAAATACACAAATAAACATCTAATTTGATGTATTTTTAATTTTGATATAGAAATATGTAAGGTCATATATTTACTTGATTCAATCCAACAAGCAACAACACTGCCCACAAAACAAATACAAAGGTTTTACTATATTTAGTATAAAGGTTGAATTTTAACTTTTAAAATTCTAAGGGCTAACTTGAAATTAAAGTATTCATAAGAGAAAACTTTACAAATTCCAAAACGTGAGGGCAAGTTTTGAAACTATTCAAAACTAATTAATTTCATAACTTATGTGTTTAAAGTAGTTTTAATCCAAAAACTCTTCAAGTTCCATAACTTGAGGCAAGTTATGGAAGACTTTAAACTAATAAAAGAATTAACTTTTCTTTATTTTATAATTTATGGAATTAATTAAGGTTACACTTTTTTTTATTATTTAATGAAGAGACTCTTGGTCCTCCATAACTTGAGGACAAATTATGGAGTCATAACACCAATTAATTAGAACTAGACTCTTCATTTTGTAACCTTTGCCAACTTTTATGAGTTTTATGAATCTTAAATGTGACTTTTCATATAACTTAAGGACAAGTTACAAAAACACATTTTAGAATCAACTTTTAGATTAATTTGGATTGAAAACAACTATTTCACTCAACTTTTCTATTAATCTAAGCAACTCATAAGCACAAGATAATTCAAATTAAACTTTTTCATGTAATTAGTCTAAACCTTAAACTAATACAAAACATGAATCTATTGACAATTATCTTTGAAACTGGATTAGCATGAACATTACCACATCAAAAACAGGTTTATAAGTTCAAAAACATCTTAGGGTAATGTTTCTAGTCCAATTCCAGCCAAAAAAGTCGAATTTATGCTGTCTGGGGGTCCAACTCGTCGAGTGCACGAACCAACTCGGCGAGTTGGATGCTTTTTGCCTTGGACTCAGCGAGTCCACTCATGGACTCGGCGAGTCTGCTTGGCAGACAGCATCAAAACTCGATTTTTCAGCTCCATTTGCAAGTATAACAAGAAAACAAGTCTAGGCTCTGATACCACTGTTGGGTTATGAGCATTCTAACACTCCTAAGTGTACATGTAGCCCTAAATACCTTAGATCTATGTTTTCTCTATTATACATGCAAATATGAACATCCAAGGCATTATCCTAATCTAGCATACAAAACAATGACTATTGCAAGATAGATTACATACCTCATTGATGTAGAAAGTCTTCATGAAGCTTGAGTGCCTAGTGCCCTAAGTGTGACACCTCAAATGGTTCACACAACACCAAATACACTTGGAATAACTTGAGAGAATTCTACACTCATGAAAATCGGCTAGCCCTTTCTTACTCTCTCTAGTGGCCGATTTTGGTCAAGAATAAGATGCTTATATAGTTAGGGTTACACCATGTAAACCCTAATTGACATGGCCTTTCATTTCCATGATACATGGGTACAAAAACACCATGGAGCATCCATGGAGCATCATATGGGCTTTAGCCCAACTAGATAATCCATGGAGCATTAGCCCACTATACAAGTATGGATGATTTACACAATCAACCCATATATTTAATTAGTCTTCTTTTGATCACTTAATTAATCCTAGATTAATTCTTGATCAATACTAATTAAATAATCTTATTATTTTTATTATTAATATACTAGAACTTATAATATATTAATAACTATAAGTGTCTTATTTCTCTCATTATAGTCTTATCCAAATGCATGATGCCATGCAACCCAAATGGACCATGCCAGGTCGGGTCAAGTCTTACCAATTATAGTTATGGACTTAGACATTAATCCAACAATAGACTCCTTGTTTGAGTCCTATGTGTCGATTATGTGGTCGTACTCTCACTTTAGGGGGGTTTGGATATGTGTGGCCACCTGATGAAGTTGTGCGGCCGCACTCCTTCAAGGAGTGAAGAACATGAAGAACATTTTGAGTTTTGGGCTTGGGTTCAAGTGTTTTACCTCAATAACAAGTTGAAAGATGATGTTCTTCACATTTTGGAGGCCTTCTAAGTGTTATTGGGTGATGTTTTTAGAGAGAGAAAGTAGAGAGAGGAATAGAGTGCAGCCAAAGGTGAATGGAAAGGGGTTCTCTACTATATATAGGGTAGGGTGTGAGGCTGAAGGGGTTTGCGGTTGGGTGTGTGGCTGGCTGGCCGCACAGACTAGTGTGCGGCCGCACACACCTCTCTTGGTGTGTTTGGATGAATTTTACGATGTAACACCCTTCCTAACCCTTCTTATGGCCCACATTTATGATATACTAAGCCTAATACACTCGTGCGGACCCAACATCTTGCTAAAAGATGCTAATTTCACGTGAATTATAGATATATGGATCGATTTCATAGTATAAAATTGTCAGGTTGTCACACTACCAAAACCTTGAGGTAAACCTGCTATCTCGATCGGAGATAATGGACACAAGTACACCGTGCAGTCAGACTATCTCTTGGATGTAGATTTACGTAAGTCTTTCCATCTTGAACGATTCTTTGATCGGAAGGAAGTGAGCCGATTTTGTCAAACGATCGATAATTAACCAAATGGTATCGTACCCACTTGGAGATTTGGGTAACTTGGTGATGAAATCCATGGTAATCATCTCCCATTTCCACTCAGGTATCTCGGGCTGTTGGAGCAGACCCGAGGGTTTCTGGTACTCGACCTTTACCTTGGCTCAAGTCAGAAACTTGCTCACGAAGGTAGCGATTTCGGCTTTCATGTTTGGCCACCAGTATTGTTGCTTGAGATCCAGGTATATCTTATCTGAACCTGGGTGCACAGAGTATTTGGTCCTGTGAGCTTCGTTCATGACGACTTCCCTAAAACCTCCGAACTTTGGGGTCCAGATTCGATCCATGAAACAGTAGACTCCATCACCTCTGATCTCAAGTTTCTTATCCAGTCCCCTCAAGGCTTCATTCAACACATTCTCTGGTTTTAGGGCTTCCAACTGGGCTTCTCGGATCTGTGCAGATAAGTGGGAATGGATGGCCATTGTTAATGTCTTCGCCTTGTTGCTTGAGCTTTCCTTTCGGCTTAGGGCATCTGCTACCACATTGTCGATGTCTCATGTTTAAGTCTTTCTGATTGAAGATGTGTTGCAGGCTTTTATGGTCAGTGAAGATCGTGCACTTGGTTCCATAGAGATAATATCTCGAAATCTTCAGTGCAAAGACCACAGCTCCTAACTCCAGTTCAAGAGTCGTATAATTAACTTCGTGTGCTTTTAGCTGTCTCGAGGCATAAGCGATAACTTTTCCTCTCTGCATAAGCACACAGCCTAAGCCCTGATTGGACGCATCACAATAGACAACAAAATCTTCAGTCCCTTCGGGCAGGGATAGGATAGGCGCGCTGCACAAGGCTCGCTTCAACGTTTGGAATGCGGTATCTTGCTTTTCACTCCAACAAAAGGGTACACCTTTCTGTGTCAGAGTGGTTAGGGGTTTGGCGATTCTGGAAAAATTTTGAATGAATCTACGATAGTAGCCGGCGAGACCCAAGAATTGACGGATTTCTGTGGGTGTCTTCAGTGCCGACCAATTCTCTATCACCTTGATTTTGGACGGGTCCACGTGTATACCCTCCTCGCTTACCACGTGACCAAGGAAAGCTACCTTCCGAATCCAGAATTCGCACTTGGAGAATTTTGCGTACAACTTCTCTATTCTAAGAGTTTCCAACACTAACCTCAAGTGTTGTTTGTGATCTTCTTCGCTTCGAGAATAGACAAGTATGTCGTCAATGAACACAATAACGAACTTGTCCAGAAAAGGGTGACACACCCGGTTCATC